CCCCAAAACCCCAAAACCCCAAAACCCCAAAACCCCATGGTGGAGTTTCAGCATTGAATTTATTCTCTTTTAAAGTCCTCTTGATTTTCATCATCTTGGAATACCTGATATTTTACCATCCTGTTATCAGTGTATAAATCATCTATCTTATTAGTCTTTTGGTCCATTTGACTAGTTTGATTTCTCATCATAGCTCCAAAGCCATCTTGAGCTTGAGGAGTGACGACTAAAGGACTATAATATACTTGACTTACTTGTTTCTCCATTATCTTCCTTGGGGATGTCTTTGTTTGAGTATGGAAAAGAGTTTTCCCAAAAATCGCTTTTCTGCTCAATTTGTTTCCTATCACTTGGGTGATTCAATGCAACACTTTTTCGTTTATCTTCTTTATAATAAATGTTGTACTCTCTATCAAGATGAACCCAGACATTTCATTTCATGAGGATAAACTTAATGAACCTTCAAATGAAAGCTAGACCTGCTAGAAGTCCAAGTATTTGAGTAGCGACATCAATGATAGATTTAAGCCTGGTGACTCTGACATTATTCACATTCGGAGACACAGACGTCTCAAATTTAATGCCTAAAATTAGAAGCAATTGGCTTACTAAAGTTTTCACTTAATCTTCCATCAGTCGTATACATGTTAGTGTAAGTTCGTTCGTTGATAGTGGATCCTTTCTCATAATATTTATGAAGAACTCTATATCCTTCCAAGTTTCTGGAATTGATCTCGTCACTATAGAAAGTTGGAATCAGCTGCATATAGAAGACTGTTGGATCCGGCCCTCGAAACGCAGTAGTGATGTTCAAGTTATCATCATAAACAGTTTGAGGAATCATCATTCCTTTCACACTAGAATGATGCTTGATCTGGGCCTCAATTGTTGAACTCCAAATTGATTGAAACTGCCATTCAAAAAAATGAATGATTCTGTTGCCTTCAGATTTAAACTTAAATAGAATATAGGCATCTGAAGGATCTGATAAGCTAATCTCATCCAACAACAATATGATGTTGATTCTATCTGTGTAAGAAGAAAGCCTCTTCCTTGTGCATGATATATTCTTATGAAAGGCCTGGTTGAAATAGGAAGAATAACCAATTTTAAACACAGAGGGATCACATAGATCAAAAGGTCCTATAGAGTCTTGCCTCTTTAGCAAAGGATTGATGTCTTCATAGATAAAAGAAGAATAAATCTAAATTTTAATTATACTAAACTTACAGTTAGATTTATTGAGTATGACTCAGGAAGATTATTCTGGTTTGCTATATTTGCTAATTCGGTAGCCTCGACTCTTTCGTTGAATAAGAAATACTTAGCAATTATTCCTGCACTTCATCATATGAGGATAATAGCATAGACAATTGAAATGACTCCTCCTACAACAAGTCGCTTTTCTCCTCCTGTGATAGGGTTTAAATCAACCTCTTTCATAATTTTGATGGCATACCTCCGAGTTGGTTTTCAGACAGTTAGTCAAAAGAGTAGAGGAAAGATAGAAAGTAAACTGATAACAATCATGAACAACACCCACATTGCTGTATTATCGAATGGAGAAATATACCCTTTAAACATTTGAGGAGAATTAGCATACTGAATAGAGTATAAGTTGTCCGAAAGTATATTTTTACTAAACTCATGTTTTGTTCCAAAGGGACAAATATTCTCCATATCGCAAACCTTGCAACTCCCTTTTACTTCAGGGTCATACAAAGATCCTGGAAGACAAGATGTACATAATCCTGATGAACTTCCAATCGTTCCTGGAGGACAGAATTTACATTTCGAATTAAAATAATCTAACTTGTCTTCATAAAAGAATTGCTCTCTAGTACACCAGTCACACTCTTTCTTCTTAATGTTGTAATAGGAGTTGGGAGGGCATGGAGTTCAGCCTCCTTCTTCAAACTTTTCTTTATCAGCACATGTTATTGTTGGGAGAGAAAGTAATGCATTTCCTTCCTGATTATTTCCAAACCCTCCTCCAATAATAATCGGATGCTTTAGACGTACAGAATGGTGAAATGAAAATCCTTCTCTCCATGCAAAAATGAGGCTATAGTAACTCGATTTGGGTTTGAAAGCAATGTATTTTATAGTTTCTTGTCCAATATCAACTTTGAGCATCCAATATTCTGATAGAATGTTATCGTTCTCTTTTCCTCCATACATTAAGACCACTCCATTTCCACTTCCAATCATTGCATGGAAAAATCTATTCGAAGGAATTTCAGTTTGTTGAGTCCTGAGAATACTGAACTTGTTCTGGCTGATCTTGTACAAAATTGCTGATGAAGTCTTGGAGTTAGTTGCTCCTCCGAAAATAAGGATGTTAAAATCATCCAGAAGCAAGCTGTCATGCCCGTATCTACATAGTTGTACCTTATCTTTCCTGGAAGGGGTGATTTTATTCCAAATTTTTAAATTCTCTTTCTTAATTGGATCTTCTACGACGAGTAAGGCATTCTCAATGTCAAGGCTCCAGATATCACAAAAAGTGTTCTCTTCTTCTCCAATACCACCAAAGATGAGTGCTGAACCATATCTTCGGAGGAGTTCTCCTCCAAAGAATGCTCTACTGTCAGGCGCTTTATCTTGCTGGTTATCATCAAGATCATGCTCTGTTAATGAATCTGAGACTTTATGCCAGTATGATCTGATAATGTCGAAGATCCAAAGGTCTGCATAGAAAGCATCATTATCTCCTTGTCCTCCGAACATGATGAGGTAATTGAAGTATCAGAATAACCGCATTCCATATCTTGGTTCAGGAGATATTTTTGATTGAGGCTCTACATTTACCCATTGATTCGAATTATCATCATAATATGCAAGACTGTTTATTAAATTTGTCCCGTTTTTAATATCTCCAATACCCCCGAAAGTCCAAATTCTGTTATTAAAACCTTCACAGGCTCCATGGTATTTCCTTGCTTCAAAAATATCTGAACTTCTACCCACACAATTTACATTAAAATCTTTGATTTCATCGATATGAACTTGGACATTGACTTTGTGTTTTCCAGATTGTTTCATTATTGAAATCTGAAGCTTTGATGTTGAGTCAACATATCACAAATCGAATAACAAATAATAATAAGCTTGTCCATCTGATACTGTCCTTGGGAGACTTGAAGTAGTATTTTCAATATTCCCACTTGAATCTTTCTCAAAAATTCCTTTCAAATCCAAAGGGTCGTCTCAATCTTCAACTTCATCATTTCATTCGATAACTTCTGTGTAGAGTTCAACTATTACAAAATGGGTTGAGATAAATTCTGGCTGAGTCAGGTTTTCTTTTAGAAGCCCAAATGAAACTCGGAACGGCATCATATCTATAAGTAATTTAAGAGTTATTGTGACTCAATTCAACAGATATTTAGCAAATCAAGATGTATCTATCTTACCTCCAGGTTTCATTTCTTTGATTGTTTGAGAGAATATCTCAATATCACTTCCGTTTTGTGTAAGCCCACTGGCACATCATAGTATGGCGAGTACTAAGATAATCCTAATGGTCAGACTTAAATCCTGCTTAAGGATCATTTTTCAAAATTTAAAAATTCAATATGGTTTCTTAGTTATGGGGTTTTGGGGTTTTGGGGTTTTGGGGTTTTGGGG